GGTTTCAAGAAGGGTTAGATGGTAGCACTTGCTCTGTACAGTTCCAATGTGCACATATTTCAGAGTTTAATAACACCAGACCACCAGTAGCATGCTTCAGACTGTGGGACATGGGTGTTGTGACTGGAAATAACCGCATAAGCAGGGACTTTGCTGCTAGCTCTTCCGTCCCCACAGACCTGTAGGTAACAGATGTGCAGCGTGGTCAGCGACCAATCACATCACCTTCTTCAGCATCTCTGTGATGGGTCGCTGCCCAGCTGCTCCCTCAGTTCAAGCACAGACAGCAGATGTGCAGGGCTGCCACCCTGTCTCCGTGACCATACGCACGGCATTGCGCAGGCATAGATCGTCGAAAGGGGGGACTAGCCAACAAACATGAACGTACAGCCAAGAAATGAACAGTGACCGTGGCAGAAGTGAATTTTTGAATTGAATGTAAATGGGGTTAGAGGAGAAACACGCCCAGTGTGGGCATGTTGATAACTGCTGCCTTTGAGAGATTCTAGGCAGCTCGCTAGAGGGAGTCAGTCAAAGTAAGTTTACTGAAATAAAGAAAACGGTGATGACCAGAAGGATGAAATGTCACAGGAAGTGACGCCAGCAAAAAACTGCACAGGAGTTCACTAACGGAGCTTCACTAAGGGATGTTTTATGACATTAGAAATACAGAGGACACATGTTGGGAGCTGATCTGAACTCAGGAGTTTGTAATTCAGTGAAGCATAGAGACGACTTTCTGTTAGCTCAGGAGTTGAATTATTGAAGTCACAGTTGGCAGGAGGAGGGGGCACACCATCGCAAGCAGGACCGCAGCGGGAAGCAGCAGGCTTGGTCCGGAGAGGGAGATGCAGGCCAGAGCCTTTCTTGTGGTTTCTGTGGGAAGGAACGGTGCAGCAAGGTAGGCAGGTTCGGCTGGTTTGAGTCATTTTGGGGCTGTCTGGGGCCAATGGGTGGCCCCTGGCTGTCTGGCTCTGGCTCCGGTGCAGAGCGGTGGACGCAGTAAAAGAGGTGGTGGGTAGGGGCGCTGATGGGTTTGCCATGGAAAGTGCATTCCCAGCCGGCCCAGGTCAGCCAGGCTCTAGACATCAAAGCATCAGAAACGCAGAAAACAACAAGGCATGAAAAATACAGCTCCCCACTTCCAATCAGCCTTGTAAGTTTCCATGTGAAATCCAGATTACGTTCCTAAAATGACCCATGAGGCCTTACCAGAATCTAGCCCTGGGCCATGAACTTGACTCTTTCCCACCCTCCCAGCCTCGCATCCGCCCCTCTGTCGTGCTGGCTTCCCTGCAGTTCCCTGAGCACAGCAGGCGAGCTTCCCACTGTTGGGCCCATGGAACTGTCCCCTCAGCTCTGAATGCTTTCCTTCGGACATCGACTTGGTTTACTTTTCTGCTTCCTTCAGGCATTTGCTTGTCTGTTGCTTTCTTAGTGAAACCTGCCCTAACCACCTACTAATCCTGCCAGCAACAAGCCAGTCTTTCTTTTTAAATTTTTTTTTCTTTATTGATTAAAGTATTACATATATATCCTTATTGCCCCATTGCCCGCCTTCTCATGCCCTCACTCCCCCCCCTCCCCCCAGTGTCTGTGTTCATTGGTTAGGCTTATATGCATGCATACACGTCCTTTGGTTGATCTCTCCCCCTTACCCCCACCCTCGCCTGCCTTCCCTCTGAGATAAGATGTTCTGATCGATGCTTCTCTATCTCTGGATCTGTTTTCATCAATTTATAGTGTTCATTATATTCCACAAATGAGTGAGATCATGTGATACTTACCTTTCTCTTGACTGGCTTATTTCACTTAGCAGAATGCTTTCCAGTTCCATCCATGCTGTTGCAAATGTTAAGAATTCCTTCTTTTTTTATAGCAGGGTAGTATTCTATTATGTAGATGTACCACAGTTTTTTAATCCACTCATCTGCTGATGGGCACTTAGGCTGTTTCCAAATCTTAGCTATTATAAATTGTGCTGCTATGGCCAAACCGGTTTGGCTCAATGGATAGAGCGTCGCCTGCAGACTGAAAGGTCCCAGGCTCCATTCCGGTCAAGGGCATGTACCTTGGTTGTGGGCACATCCCCAGTACGGGGTGTGCAAGAGGCAGCTGATTGAGGACTCTCTCTCATGGATGTTTCTAACTCTCTATACCTCTCTCATCCTCTCTGTAAAAAATAAATAAAATATATTAATAAAAAAATTGTGCTGCTATGAACATATGCATATAGGGGTGCATACATCCTTTCTGAATGGTGTTTCTGGTTTCTTAGGATATAGTCCTAGAAGTGAGATCACTCACTGGGTCAAATGGGAGTTCCAGTTTTAGTTTTTTGAGGAAACACCATACTGTTCTCCACAGTGGCTGTACCAGTCTGCTTTCCCACCAACAAGCCACACCCTGCTCCACAGATGTTACACAGCGCTCATCACTTTCATTAACCCATACCATGTGCTTACTTATTGTATCATTGTTTATTGCTTGTCCATCCACCATTACACTGAAAAGGATCTTTATTTCATTCATGGGCATACTCTAAGCTAGGGGTGTCGAACTCAATCAGAGAAGGGGCCAAAATCTAAAATCCAGCCTAAATCGCGGGCCGAATGGTTTACTGAACAGTCATAAACTGTCATTGTGATGGAAACGCAGCGGAGTGCAGTGTTGACAGCGTGGTGCGGGCCACATTGCAAGGCCTGGCGGGACGGATTTGGCCCGCGGGCCTTGTGTTTGACACATGTGCTCTAAGCAATTAAAAACAGTGTCTGACAGAGTAGGCACTCAGGAAATATTAGCTGAATGATGACATTATTGTTCTGAAAGTGGGACTCTCCAGTTTTTTAAGAACACGTAAGACCTGCGAAGTTAATACCTGTGATGATGCCCAACATGGGAAGGTGGTTGTGTTCTTATTGGGTTAGTCAAATACTGAGGCACAGTGATATAAAGGAAGCATAAAGCACTGGTCTCTTGCTTAGCAATCCATAAATCAGCCAGACCACTGAGAGCCAAGAAGTTTTGTCACCGATTCTGACTTTTAGGCTCTGCATATCGAGTTTCTCATGTTAGTAGCACAGCTCCACACGTAAAGGGCTATTGCCTTTTTGCACGAAGCAGTTTATTCTGCCCGGCTTTGTTCACTGCAGCTCCCTCAGTAGTGACTGCATGTGAAGGGTTTCCTTTCGCTATCAAAATCCACAAGGCTGTGCCCTTCACGTCTCTTGGAAGAGTCACCTCCCACTTCTTCCTAGAAGTAGCTCTGTGGCCCAAGGATTTTAGGAGCACCCGGGACTGAGGAGGGACTGACCCTTGCCCAGAGAGGGCCCTTAATAAGTGTAGCTGCCTTGTGATTTCAAGCCACATGCTAAGAAGGAAATGTCAAAGTCATGCTTTTTCTGGAACATGGCTTTCAGAAAACAGGAAGTGATTCAGTGTAAAACTAATGGCATTGATGATACAGCCAAGTATTTCATGATGGTAAGGAATTATTGGAGAGGTTTAGGTGTGAACTGTATTGTGGGTTTTTTTAATTTTAATTATATTTTTTCCATCACCGTTTATCCCCTCTTCCACCTTCACCCACGCCCTGCGGTCACCACACTGTTGTCCATGTTCATGAGTTTAGGAGATGCATGGTTGTGAGGGAAGGAGAGAGGGAGGAGAAGGGGTGGGCATGTTCTAGGGGAGGAAGAGCACACACTAGGATCTCTTTTATTTGTTATTGATTTTTAGAGGCGGGGAGGGGGGAGGGGAGGGAAAAAGAATGAGAAACAGATATGAGAGCAGAACCTTAATCAGCTGCCTCCTGCATGCCCCCCTTCCAGGGGTTAAACCTACTACCTGGGCATGGGCCCTGACCAGGAATCAAACCAACCTTTTGGTGCACAGGACTATGCCCAACCAACCGAACTACCCCAGCCAGGGCACAACCTTCATTTTGAGGGCTTTTAAAGGCTGGGCATTTAGGTCTTAGGGGAGTCTCTCAATAGAGCATTCATCAGCTTTATGCTGTTGTACCAAAATGAGATTTAGTCTCTTAACTTCATCTGTGCTTGGGTGTGGTTGGCAAATGGCACCATATGTGGTTTTTTAATTGGACCTGTTGCTGGGATGTGGTCTTGTTCCTACTGATAGTAAATACTTCTTGCATTTTGCAGAAACCCCTACAAGTAGTTATCCTTTCTCCATCAAATATTTACTGAGCAGCTAGTACTAAGTGCCAGCCCATTGCAGGCACGGGGGTATAGCAGAGAAGGAGATTAGGAAGTTCTTTGCTGACCCAAAGTTCAATTCTAGTGGAGAAGATAGACTATAAGCAAGTAAACAAATGAACAAGTTCAGGTGAGGGTAAGGCTGCCTCTGGCTGCCAGAGAGTCTGGATCCCGGAGCCCAGGGAGGAAGAGGGGAGCACGGTGTGCAGTACTGCCACCTTCTTTTCATTGCTGGGACTGCGCCCAGGTTGGCTCCATCACTTTCACGGTTCATGATTATTCATTCCATATTACGGTAAGAGTTGGTGTTAGAATTAGTTTTCCAGGTTGTTTTGAATTCCTTTCCTTTCTTATATCTTTATATGGGTTTAAGTCCCAAGTTCAGAGAGGTGGCCTCCAGGTGCCATGAGGTAACACCACCTGCACCAGAGCCCAAGAGGTGCCAGGGTCTAACCTGTGCTGAGTATCCTGTTCATCATTTCGCCGCCTTATCTGCTTAAAAACAAAGCCTCTTGGGAAATTAAAAGTAAATAACCACAGCAGCATGACTGAGCACCTATTCCGTGCTCATTCAAGTCTCTCCACAGGCTGCATGGTGCTGCTGCTCTCACACATGGCAGAGGAGAGCTGTGGGCCCAGAGAGGAAATGCTTGTTCAGAGACACACTGGAAGCTGTTGGAGGAGCTGGGATTTGAACCCAGGCAGCTTCCCTCCAGAGGCCTGTTTTTAATGCCGTCTCTAAGGATGATGACTGCTGTTAAGGTGCTTCTATCTGTGTTCCAGGTTTTGCTGATCTTTGCCAAGGAGGACAGTCAGAGTGATGGATTCTGGTGGGCCTGTGACAGAGCCGGCTTCAGATGCAATATTGCCCGGACTCCAGAGTCAGCCCTTGAATGCTTTCTGGATAAACAACATGAAATTATTGTGATTGATCACAGACATGCTCGGAACTTCGACGCAGAGGCTGTGTGCAGGTACCTTCCTTCCTTAATCTCATATGCTTAGTAGATGTCCACTTAGCCTGAAATGAGTTCATTGGTAAGTGTCTTTAGTTCCATCTCATAGATTTCTAAAGTACTGTTGATGTTCCTAAGCCGTTTATTTAGCTTTCTGTGATGAAAGCTGTAGCTTCGCCTATAGATTTATCACTCCTTTTCTATTTTTTTTTTTTTTTTTGCACTTGAGTTCCAATGTATTTAGAGGTGTGAGCTGGGTGCTACTGAAAACTGCAGGATTCTTCTCTCTCCCCGCCCCCCCCCCCCGAGTTTTTGCTCATGTCTCTGTCTCTCTCTCTCTCTCTCTCTCTCTCTCTCTCACACACACACACACACACACACACACACACTAAAATCCACACAGTTCTTATTATACAGATACGGTTTGGATGTAAACCAGATACTCTAATCTTAATTATTCTGCACCAAAATGAGCATCAGAAATGTGTGAAATATACATTTTCCCCTGCCTGACACAGATGGGTGGATCCGACAGCAGTCACTGGTCGAAGGCAGCCACTTTGCAGCTGGAGAGAATCTTCCCGGGACCCAAACCCCCACTTGTTTACAGAAACGCTTGCTCCGGGGAGGAAACGCATGCCTGATCATAAATAAACGCAGCCCTCAGAGTTTGCGCTGGATGAACCGATTCCTGTAGCAGAAGTGGAATGCTTTGAAGCTAGACAAGAAGAGGTCACTAATTAAATGCTAGGCCAGGGCGGACTCCAGTCACATATGGAGCTGGAATTTTCTTGAAAATAGTAAATGGCGTGAAAGGTAGGAGTATGGCCTCTTGGAGCCGTGGGTACCCTGACGAGAAACGAGGGGAAGCTTCTCATCTCGGGCATCGCTTTGCTAGTCTCTGACAGTTTTCTGTTTCCCAAAGTGTTTTCCTTAAGGAACCCATTTTAAAATGTCTTATTGGTCTCAAGTGATTTTATCTTCCTGCGTTGGAATATTTGCCTGACTATTGTGTATATTCATAAATAAGATGTATCATCAACTATTTGGAGGATATTTTTGGTGATTAGGAGCATTTCTCCTTTTTAAGTGATTTTCAGGATAGAACTGGGTCCTTGGTAATTAAGTTTGTCTTCTTTCCCTTGTCTTGACTGATTTTGTGATAGACACTACAGTCCTTCGTGCATACATAGATTGATTTAAGAAGAGCTTCAGGTGTAAAAGGGAAGAATTAATGGGAAGACTTCTTTTAATTCAGGCAAAGACCCATTTTAGCAGCATGGCATTACAATCTTCCTGGGATAGAAAGAAATGGAGTTTTGTTTCCTAATACGTGTATGTCTGTCTTGGCGGCACAGAAAAGCAATGGGGTCTATGCAGTGCAGAAGCTGGGTGCGTGCCTGCTGGCAGGCTTACCACTGTCACTGGTCAACTTGAGGGTCCCCGATTCCTGATTGCCTGACTGCCAGGACCTGTTCCCTAAGATGAGCTGGGGTCATGCTCCCAGCAAATGTGCCCTCTGTTGTCACCTGTGGCCCAGGACCCCTGGTTTTCGAGCTAGACTGGATCTTAGCTTCACACACTCCTTGGAGCCCTGCCCTGTGGGTCCCCAGGCCCCCCCTTAAACCTCTCAACCGGGAAGAGATCCAGGTGCCTCTGACCACAACAGTTCCTCTGGAGGACTGAGAGGGAAGAGGGAAGCAGCAGAAAGTAACCCCCAAACCGGAAGCCAGTCTCAGAGAAGCTAAGCTTAGAGTGTGCTCCAGTCCAGTTATGTTCCTAGCAGAGTTTGAGCCTCTTGCCTATGGCCCACTCCTTTGAATATAGCCCAGAAGGTATGCTTGGTGCCTCACTGAGGAGGAAGAGAATGAAGGAAGGTGAGAAATGCTTGGAGTTTCCTGAGATTAGAGCTCACGCTGTTTTTTTGTTTGTTTGTTTGTTTGTTTTTCATTAGGTGCTAAGTGGTACTTCTGCTGAGAATTCAGTAGGCTACTAGGTAGAAAATGCAGGTAGCTTCACTTGGCCAGGGCTGTCCTGTGTGCTGCCTGGGAAGTCTGTGCTCACATTGGAGACTATTAGTGCCTCACAGGGAGGTCAGGCGCTGTCGGCAAAGGTATTTGCCATCAACTAGTTATGCACCAGGGGAGCCTGCACTTCCCAGGAAGACAAGACGGCAGCTGATCATTTTCTCAAACCTTCTACCCACACAGAGGGAGGCCTAAGGAATAGGAAACGGGGAAGGGACATTTTTGAAAAAGGTTAGGAAATTCTGGAGTCAAAGAGGATCAAGCAGCCTGAGCTGGCTGTCCCTGGGAGAGCAGTCCTGCAAATATGTTGACATGGAGAGGACCTGAAACCCTAGTAGCTAGAAAGAAAACTAATGCATGTTGTTTCACAAATTACTCAGGAGCAGCCCCGACGCTTCTGTTCTGGGAGATGATGGCTCTCTTTTGGGCCACATTAAAGTAACCAGAGGCCAGAGCCAGGAGATGGGTCAGATCACGCATTCATATTTGTACCAAGGTCTGAGTAGGTGGCACTTTATTAAAAGCTCACCCAGCCCTAGTCGATTTGGTTCAATGGTTAAAGTGGCGGCCCTCGGACTGAAGGATCTCGAGTTCAATTTCTGGTCAAGGGCATGTACGTAGGTTGTAGGTTCCTTACCGGCACCAAATTGATGTCTCTCTCAGGTTGATATCTCTCTTTTCTCTCTCTCTCTCTCCCTTCTCTCTCTCTCTCTCCCTCCCTCCCTCCCACTCTCTCTAAAAAAATAATCAATGGAAAATATATCCTTGGCTGAGGATTTTAAAAAAAAAAGTTCACCCATTTCATGACCCCTGACCAGAATAATAAAGAATCTGAGCTGTACCATTCAAAACACATTTTCTAAGAAGACTCACCGACCTCCGAAATCTACATCCGTACATGTCTTAATCCTGTTAAATTTCTAGGGACTAAACAATACAGAGGTGGTGACAGTTGCCATATTGCAACATGTCTCAGCCCCAGTCACTGAAAGTACCAGAGGACAAACAACAGCACAACTGGGAAATTGGGGTGGTTCTGTGTACTATTTAATACATTTCAGTCTGCATTTGTCTATCCAGCTGTCAGCAAGTACTTTCATTTTTTTTCTGAACTACTATTTTAAAAGAAAAAAGATCCAACCCAATTACCTCCCCAAGTACAAACTAATAACCAGAGAATTGTAGAACTGCCAGTTTTTTGGGTTTTGTTTTTGTTTTTGTTTTTGTGTGTGTGTTTTTTTGCAGAGTAGAATTTCAGTCAGAAAACATGGAATGTAAGTGGGATTTGATAGTTGTTGAAGTGGAAAATTGGCAGATCTGACCTATTGGATAATTGCCTGGGAATTTAAAAAAAAATTTTTTTTTTTAATAACATGAAGAGATTGTTCTGATCCACAAGGACATCTTTCTTTGTTGTCTTTCACATGGACTTTTTCTGTGTGTGTGTTTTTGTTGTTGTTGTTGTTGTTGTTCTGTTAGTTTAATAGCTCTGTTTATTAAAGACGTTTCAGGTTCACAGGAAAATTGTGCAGGTCCAGACTGTTCCTGCAGTCCTATCTACCCCTGCCCTCCGGCTTCCCTCATGGACATCTTGCATCCTCGTGGTGCTTTGTTAGAGTGTCTCCGTTACAGTTAACATTCAATCCTGTGCGAGTTCCGGGCGCACCGCAGAGCCGCTCTTTGGAGGAAGACCTGATGTGCTGCTCCCAGATCGAAGCAGATGCATGGGGGGGGTTGGATGCCGCACAGCGAGGTCACCTGGTTTGACTGGGCACCTTCTTGTTGCAGGTCGATCCGGGCCACGAACCTCGCGGAGCACACGGTGATCCTGGCGGTGGTTTCACAAGCGTAAGCGCGCCTCCCGCCCCTGCTGGAAGCCGTCCCGTTCTCCCTGAGACATCTGCCTGATGTCATCCAGTCTCGGGGCTGGAAAAACAGCGGGCATGTCCTTGGCCCCGTCACAGCAACCGTCGATCTTGCTTTGGGTTTTTTTGTTTTGTTTTGTTGTTTTGCACGTGTCTGGAAATATTTAGGTTTTTTCCCTATCTCATCGAATTGCTTCTGCAACATACTCACCTCAGGGGGGAAAAATGGTTATTTCATTAGATGCTGGAAATGAATGCAAAATGTGTGAAGGAGGAGATCTGGAAAGAACACGATTCCAGCTTACCCCTTTTTAGGTCCTTTAAGGAAAAGAGATGGGAGAGGGGGGAAAAAGAATGCTTGTTTTTCATGTCAGAGGAAACCAATGGTAGCGTGAGGACAGAGAGGCACGAACTCCACTGCAAGGAAGGGGGTGTGCCGTTCACGTTTTGGGCCAGTTCTGTGGCGGGAAGCAGGACTAGGATGCATGCCAGTGCTGGAAGGCAGGAAAGGGGAATTAAGCTGTAGGTACGAGATTGTGGGCTGAGAAACTGCTCTGCTGCGTTCACTGTCTGAAATGGCCAGCACTTAGAATGAAGGATCTAGAAGGTAAAAGTTGTTCATACAAGCTGCAGTGGTTGGAATCTCTGTAGGTATCAAATGTTACAGTCAAGTAATGGCCATCACGAGCTTCGGAGAGAGCAAGACCTTCATTAGGGCCTTGATCTCCTGACAAGCCAGCGACTCGGGAGGGTTTAGGCCCTCCCCCGGGCCAGCCGGGGACAGGGGAGAGCGGAAACACTCCATTCCAGAGCCATGTCCTGGCTTCAAAATGTTGGCCTAACCAAAGACTTCTACTGACCTGGTGCTCCCTGAGTCTCTTGTCCAGAGCTGTGTCTTTTCACTGATCCCATGCCACGGGCTGTGGGGCAAGGAAAGTGTAGAAACTGTCCCAGTGGTTGCTCTCCACTCCGCCATCCTGGTGGGGGATGGGGCCTCGAGGGGAACGAGGAGGAGAGCAAAGATGCGCAGTCGTCCTTGTTCAGCCCTTTGGCTCGTGTTTTATTTGGGGGGAGGTGAGGAGGGCCTCTGGGGTCCTGGGTGTGGGCACCACATGCACCAGGCCCCACAGCGCTCCCCAAGCCTCTTTTCTCACCCCCACCCATGTTTTAATAAAATATTCCATAGAGAGAGAGAGAGCGATAATAAACATGAATTCTGAGTTTGTCCCACTCAGCATATGACACAGGACATTATACATAACCTCTAGAACCCATTTTGTGCCCGTCCTGATTTATCAGTCAGCCAAGGAGAACCCTGAGTCCCAAGAGAAGGAGCAAGGGAAGGCGGCCCCTCCCTGCAGGGCAGCTCAGCTACAAGTCATGCCCCAGATAAGCACTGGGGTTTCCTTTCCTATTGTCTGTCTGCTCCTTCCCCCAACCCCCTCTCCATGTTTCTCCCGTTTCCAAGGTGTGGTCTCCACGTTGCTTTCTGGCTGTCTTTGAGGAAGCCTCTTCTCTATCGTAACGATGACAGCCCTGCCTGTCTCGTGGTAACCCACACCCACACCTTGCACTCAGACTGGTGTTCTGAGACCCAGCTGTAGACTCAGTATAGGAAACCTCCCCCTGAAATGAGTGACAGTGACCAATTTTTGTTTTCTCTTCTTCCTTTCTAACTCGGCATTCCTCAGGACACATCTTGTCCATTTGGCTATTGGCTGCGGCAGCTTATGCCTGTTGCCTTCCTCGAGTTGAGAGTTGGACCCAGCGAGGTCTTGGGGGTGGGAGTTGTGCGTTCAGAGGGGTTGAGGATGGCAAAGAGGACAGCCTCTCTGGGACAAGCATTGCGCCTACTTGTCCCTTCGTGGGACCACCCCATCCGCTTGCTCCAACCCCAGCGGCAGCTAGCGTGGGGGACAGCCACTCCCGTGGCCCTGCAGCCACGCTCTCAGGCACACGGCGGGCGTTTTCTTCGCCATCCTGTGCTTTCTGCACCGGGAAGTCAGTGTGGGAGTCAGGGCCCTGGAAGGCAGGGGTGCCCGTGGGCACGTGCTGGTCGGGAAGCCGCTCCGAGAGCCACCGCCACACTCGCCTCACTGCTCGCTCTCCGCGGCTCAGTGTGAGGAAGCCTGGTTTGTATCTGCCGAGTGACCACCTTTTCTGCTTTGCTGCAGATCGGGCGACCACGAAGAGGCCTCCGTCCTCCCTCTTCTGCACGCAGGCTTCAGCAGGGTACGTAGACGCGGGCCAGCACCTCCCCTGTGCGGGCACCTCCTCCTAACTCTCCCGCCCAGCACAGCCAGCGTCTGTGCGTGACCCTAAGCCCCGGGGCAGGGGCGGGGGGGGGGGGGGGAGGAGGGAGGGAGGGAGGGAGGGGAGAAGGAACTGTTCACATGGGATGGTTACGGGCAACTGTTAGTCGGATTTCTTTTCCTTTTTCTCTCATAACTTCATATATCTTAGCTAGTGATACGTAATGACATAAAACACATCATAGGTCAACATTCTGTAGTCCCAAGGTCCTCTCGTTTGGTCCAGTTGGCTAGATTCATTGTGTGCATGTGGTTACGTGTAGGCGAGACCACTACGTGGGCACCCAGGTCTTGGGTTGGTCAGGGCCTGGTCAGAGCCTCAGCCCAGGGACGGGCCCGGGACGGCCACCGCCTCCTGTGAGCGCCTGGTTTAAATTGTGCTGTTTGAGTGACTCCGTGAGTTAAACGGCTGTTCCACTGAACGGTGAGAGATTGATGACTGCAAGGAGACTCACCCGCACACCAAAGCCAGGCTTCCCTGGGTGTCCTGGTCTCCCGATGGGAGTACTAATCTGAGTCTCACAGAGATGCAGCCCTGCATCCTTTCCTTCAGCAATAGGACATGGCCCATGCCTGTGAGCTGTGGAGGTTCCTTTGGGCACTTTAAGGTGGTTCCTTGCAGCCCCTAGTTTAACCCTGTCTTCGTGGTAGACTGAGGCAGAAAGGGAGAAATCGCCACGGGCAGTGGTTTTGTGCTTCGGTGGTTCTCTGCTTCGGTGTGGAGCAGAGTGCTCTGTGAAACAGGCAAGTAGTTCAGGGGCTCACGCCTGTCCTAGGAATGAGTGTTTCTCATTCGTGGTATTGCTCACCTCACTTTCCTCTTGTCCGTCATCCCGTTGCAGAGGCCGGCGTTTGGTTCTGAAAGCTGTCTCTGAGCGTGCAGAGCAGTGCTTCTGAGTTCTGCAAGAGGAATGCTGGTGTGTGTGTTTGTGTGTGTGTGTGTTTGTGTGTGTGTGTGTGTGTGTGTGTGTGTGTGTGTGTAGGAGAACCTGTGAACTCCACGAGCTCAAGACTTCTTTCTCCACTGAACAATGATCATTTCCTGAGAAATAACCTAAAATCACCCACAGGTTTCATGGGGGGGGTCATGGGTTTCATGTGGAACACCCACTGCACCCAAGCCCCGCATGGCCCTGGAGGCCTGAGGTAGGAGCTCGTGGAGTTCACAGGTTCTCCTACACACACACACACACACACACACACACACACACAACACACCCTGTATTACTAAGGACAGCAGCGACACCCTGTGGGTGACATCCTCCAGGCCCCCTGTAGCTGCTGTTGGGTGTCCTTCTGGAATTTCGCCCTCAGCTCAGTGTGCCTGCCTGTGACGGGTGTGGGTTATCATGTGGAGTGATGCTGGGAATGGCACATCTACTCCCAGGAAAACGTAGGGAAAGCCACGGGGCCACGTGATGCGGTAAATTTAGGAGGGAAAGTTCCATTGTTCCTTTTTACGAGCTTTGTAACCTGCCTGTGCTGCTCTGGAAGGGTCCGTCGCCCGCTGTCTGGATACGGAGATGCTTTCTGCCGTCCGCCTGACTGAAGGAGACCCACAGAGGGAGCGGGAAACACGAGGCCTGGCATGGACACCTGTGTTCCTTCACGCTGGTCTGAGCAGGGCCTTTTCCAGCTGGGTCAGGGTGCCCCCACATCGTTGGGGTGCTTTCCAAGGGCAACACTTCGCCTCTACCAATGCTTGCCCTCTGAGTGTCTGTGAAACAAGATCAGCTGCGGTTGCTCTTCGGGTGGCTGCCCTCCTTTTTTGGGCAAAACCCCGCCACCCACCCAAGCATGCCAGTGAGCCTGCCTTCCGCTAGGTGGTTCCCCACCTCTGAGCTGTTTTGATCGTTTGAAACCATCTGGTGAGACGCGGCCTGTGTTGCTAGCCGATGGGTCCCTGCATTAGGGACCCGGGAACAGTCGGTGCCGTGAATACCCCACAGCAGTCTCAGAGCCTAACGCTGCGCGTGAGGGCCGAGCATGCTGCCCCGAGCCCTCTGAGCCGGCTAGGAACCAGTGCCTTCGCGAAGGGTGAGGGCAGCTGTTTGTGTAGCAGCCTCTGCGTCCCTCTTTGTATTTGAAATGGTGCACAGGCCGCTGACATGTGCGATGCTGGGCGAGGCTCCTCCCTGGGAGGCTTCCTGAGGAGAAAGGAACAGCTAAGATTTATTATCAATTCAGCTCCATTCCGGGCAACTTGTTTCATCCCCATCTACAGATGAGAGGCTGGGATGTTCTTCATTTCTGCAGAGGAGAAGACAGGTGAAATAGCTTGCCACAGCTCAAACTCACTGCAGCGTCAAAATGCCAGCTCCCTGCGGGGTCCGCTTACATAGTGCTTCTCAGACTGTCTGGGGACACTAGTGGGCCAAACGCTCTTAGCGGGTGTTCCGTGGCCAAGGCTGCTGTGGCCACGTCATTTGGGAAACCGGTGAGGCCGCTGACCCTGAGCACGCACAGCCCGCGTCAGCAGCGCGGCGCCGGGGCCTCCTGAGGGGCCGGTGCTGAAGAAGCGCCCACGTTTCTGCCGGTGGCCCAGGAACTGGGTGTTTAACCGCAGGCCCAGGGGAAGGAGGCTGACATTGGAAGACCACTGCTTCTCACTCACTCAAATCACTCCAGGGACAGGGGTTCACGACACTCTTGAAAATGCCTAAAAGATGAGGCACTGGCGTCTGCCGTTATCTTTCATCCACAAAACACCCACTGAGCACCAGTTATATACAGAGTGCTCCAGGGCTTAGACACCGTCCCCTGCAGAGAGCTGTGTGTCACTGCAGTGGAAGTTCTTAGACTTAAAGAAAAGTAAAATATTAAAAAAAAAAAAATGATTTCTTAGATAGGAAAGTGAAAATATCACACGGAACCCTCAAACACAACACGCTGAAAGAAAGCCAAGAGGGAGTGAGCCAAAATTAACAGCTGGAGCCTGTGATCCTGTCGGGGATGTGGGGATCTCCCTTTGTGTTTTCTGTGTGTTACACTCTGTAAAATTAATGTGTGTCACGTGTATAACTAGACATAGACCATCGCGGCCCGTCCAGGAGTTCATCCTAAACCTAACGTGTTTAACTTCGCCAGAGAAAGGGAAAATTTCCTCCTGTGTGAGTGGCGGAATCCCCCTTTCCTCTGCCCTTCCACCGGCAGCGATGGGGACCGTGGCTTCAAAGGCGCTCCCCAAGGAGAAGCCATCCACTAGATAGCGGAAGTGTGTGTGTGTGTGTTTGGGGGCGGGGGGTTGGAGGATGGGGAGCAGGGGAGAGGAGAGGAAGGAAGAGAGGGAAGAAAGCGAAGAAGGGCCTCTCCCCTCGAGACCATTTGCAGTGTGGCTCACACCAAACACATCCAGTGTTGTGTGTTAGAAGACTTTACTTTTTTTGTCCTTTACTAGTAGCCCTGTGCACAAATCTGTGCACCAGTAGCTGTCTGCAGGGCCTGGCTGCTTCACGCTTGCTGCCCAGAGGCTATCTGTGGCCTGAGGCCCATCGGCAACTAGATGAGAAACGCTTGCCTTGTGGCCGCAGTGATCCACCAGGCTGTTCTCACTGCCTGCTCTCTGCGGCCGCACCCCCCCAACACCCCCCTCCCCCGGGACTGGGGGGCTGAGAGGACTGGGCGCCGCCATCTTGTGTCTATGGGCGGCGGCATCTTTGTGATGGAGTGATGGTTAATTTGCATATTGCCCTTTTATTAGATAGGATTGTTTAAAGTATTATATATAGTATTACACATGTCTCCTTTCCCCCCCAGGGACCTCTCCTTGGCCACCCCTACCCCCTGAGAAGACTTTTACTAGTGCAATAGAAAGCATAGGTGTTTCTGCAATTAGCAAGGCTGCATTTGCTTTCCTGTCAGTATGCACCGTGAAGTGTTTCCCACCTTTGTTACAAACGGAGTTAAGCGTACAATAGCCCGTGTTGTGTTTAAACAAGCGTTTCAAACACCATGACAACTGTTTGATTTCATCTTATCCACTAGTTGTCTTCTGTCACAGGGTAACTTGGGTAGGGAAAATGGTTCACTTCTTTATTTGACTCCGAAGGAAGTAATTGCATCTGTCTTACATGTTATATTTACTTTTCCCCCCCAGAGGTTTGTGGAGAATAGCAGCATCATCGCCTGCTACAACGAACTGATCCAGATCGAGCACGGGGAGGTCCGCTCGCAGTTTAAGCTCCGGTAAGTGGCCAGACCCGGCGGGCCCGGGGCGGCAGCTCCAGAGGAGCCGTCCCGCTCACAGCTCCGGGCTCAGTCACAGGGCCTGGGACGCCGTTCCACAAGCAGCAGCAGCCAGTACAGTGGGAAGGATCTACACTGGGAGCCCTTGGTTACTATGAAATAAATTAGAAGTGTTTCTTACTTCGGCAGTACTTTCCACTATTTACAGCAGCTTTAAAATTATATCCTGGGAAAAGTGCTGTTTAATTTTTGTACAATCAGATCGAGATTAAGAGGAGCCTTTCGGGATTACTTTCTGCTTACTGCTTTCAGAGTGTGTGAATTCCTTCACGGATGGTTATGGATAGGGGCAAGCCAGTGGGTATGCTTATGACGCTAACCATAGTAATTGCTATGTAACCGCGATAGCGATTGCATGACGCCCGCTTGTGGCCTCCAAGCATGCAGTATCTGTAATACGAGGCTGATTTCGGGTCCCTGGGCAGGCACAGAGTGCTTTAAAAGCAGGCTGCTCTCTGGTGCCCGCTTCTGGATGCGAGTGTCTGAGGGTCCAGCCAGAGCTCTGGGCGTGGGACGTTCTGCCTCTGGGGCATCTTGGAATGAATGCCAAGGTCCCAGCTCAGGCCTGGTTTGGCTCAGGCTCCACTCCGGTATACTCTCTGGACCCTGAGTTTTTCAACTTGCCCCCCTCAAGCAAAGACAGCGGAGTGGACTGTGGAGGCTGTCCCCAAACTGTGGTCCTCAGTGGCTCGAGGCTCTAGGATGCCAGAAAGTCTCAGCCTGGCTTCCCCCTCTGGCCAACTGCAAGGTCAGGAGGGGTTCAGGCTCAGCAAGAAATGAGAAGGCATCTCATTGGAATGCGTATACTTCTTTTTATCTTGACTTCTGAATTTGCATTCAAAGGGGACCAAACCCTTTTATACTTATGTTTTCTCTGCCGTTCTCAGTCCCCTGGGAGGAAAGGCTATTGGCATAACCCACAGAGGCAGGTCCTCCTGGGGCTCTCCTGGTCAGGGAAGCTGCTTTCGGGTGGGCAGAGGGCTTTAAGGAACAGTCACTTTCTTAGAAGGGAAAGTAATTAAGAAGGACTTCAGACAGTGGGAATTTAGGTATTTTAACAGTTTCTCGTTGAGGAATATTGCCAAAGACTTTTGCCTATGTAAATAATTAAATCCCTTGGTTTCTTTGTACCCACATATGTGTTAGCTCCAGAGAACTTCATAGAATTTTTCAAGAAAAGCACATTGCATTTACTTCAGAAATTAATGATTCTTCTCATTCTGCATTGCTGGAGGTCTCTACTGTTTTTAATTGAGGGTAAAAAGGCGTTGTGCTTTAAAAAAAAATGTTTTCACAATGAATAGAATTAGAAAAAAGATTTCATTTGGTTTAAATCTTTTACTGTGTCAGACCTACAAAAACATGGAACAGATACCTCATTGCTTTGATGGGTAATTTTCTCCTTTTACCTCAGGTAATTGTGTGCGTTTCCTTGGGCAACATTCAGTGTGATGGCACACACGCCAGATGTCAGAGGGAGTGGGTGGAGGTCGCGCTGGCCGCTTGAACTAAACATTCCCAGCCAGTCAGCATGAGGGCTTAACAGAAAGGGCTTCTGGGTATTTGCTAGTGAAGAAATCTGCTTAGAGCCAGGGCCTTAAAACTCCTCAAGGTTCATCAGACTGAGAACTTGGCAGATTCCCGAGGGCCTAACCCTGTGCACGTCCCAGGACTTCTCTCTCCTCATGACTGAAGCTGCCTGGGGGAAAGGCTCCAGTTCCCAGTACCAGTCAGTGTGCAATTGGCGAATGGACTTGGCTCAGCAGGCAGTGGCCCCGAAGGAGGGTTTGCCCAGCACACCCATCTCCTTACCCCTCAGCCAGCGGAAGCTTGGCTGGCAAAGAGCCTCTCTTCCCAGCCCTGAGCAACCAGCATGATAGCAGCCCCGTGTGCGGAGGGGGCCCGCGGGGTGACGTGTGTGTGTGTGTGTGTGTGTGTGTGTGTGTGTGTGTGTGTGTGTGTGAGTGAGGGGGGAAGGCGGGAGTTCTCCACCTGAGAGAGCCAGAGGAGGGCTAAGTGGTCTGCTGCTTCTGTTGCTTTTTGGCTGTTCTGCCTCAACTCTCCGGTTTCCTCCCCTTTGTTGGAGGAGTGGGGTGTGCCCAGGGTTTGACTCTCCCTGGGTCACACACTCTGCCTCCCTCTCCCACCCCCCTGCCCCAGACCATGACCACCCCCCCGCCCCCAGGGCGTTCAAGGACCACTAAAGCCTCTGCCAGCACCCCAGAGGCAGGCAGGCGACTGTCACTGGGAAAATGAGGCTCTTTATTATGCAATGCCAGAATAATCATCGTCTAATTATATAATGCTTCCCCTGCAATTCCGCCCCAGCTGCAGCTGAATCCGTGGCACGACAGGCATTCTGCAAGGACAGCCCATGCTGCGGGGTGGGGTGGGGCGCTGAAGGCGCATCCTCCCATGAGGTGTGCATGTGTGGTACCCACACTGAACCACGGGAAAAGCAAGGGCCACATGAGCAAACAAAAGCTGTCTAGTTTTAAGATTCAGTTTTCTAGAATAACTCTTAAAAATAGGAGAGCCACATCTCATTTCTGAGAGCATTTGACGAGTTGCTTTATAGAACAGAAGAATTCGTGAATGGGGAATGTCGAAGGAAGTGGGGGTGAAGGATGACCATCTATCTCTAATCCCTACGCATCTTCATTGTGAAGACAACTATGTCATCCACAATACAGATAGGATTTATCTACTTACTGGGAGTTGAAGCTGATTATACTAATGCCAGACCGGCTGTGTGCCGTCATTAGCTTGATCTCTGTTATCCAGACGTTAACACCCACATCATGTTTATTTTACTCCAAGTCCTACTTATGAAGGTAGCAGTCCTTGGTGTCAGAAACATCAGCTTCTAAAAGATGGGCAGAACTCTGTGTTCTGTGGAACCCTGCATCTCTGTGATGAATGGACGTTTACAGACATGTGGGCTCTGTGACTGCCTGGCGTCACAGGAGAAACCCACCTGTGGAGGCTTCACGCACAGCCCAGCTGCCCTCCTATCCAGGAAGGTGCCCACCTTGACCCCATGCTGCCTCCCTCCCGCTCGCTTGCGCCCTGTCCCTCCCAGACCCCTGCTTGGGTATGGCTTTGTGTTCAGACTCTACAAGCCACCACCTTGGGCAATCCTACCCTGTTCCAGGTGGCCGTGTGTGTGTGTGTGTGTGTGTGTGTGTGTGTGTGTGTGTTTGAGTAGATTCCAGAGTATCTTTGGTAGGACACAAGAGATTATGGAACCCAGCCACCTCAGCCACAGTTGATGGAGGAAAACACAGAACCAGAGAGACTGGACACCATTGGTCACAGCTCCCCAGTGTGTCGGCTATAGCGCTGGATAGAATCCAGGTGTCCTGCTTTCAGTCGACAAACTCTGCCCACCTCCCTAAGCCCCCCTCCCTAACACACACACACACACACACACACACACACACACACGCATCTCACACCACTGTGTCGCCTATAGACTTCATGCCCAGCCTCTCTAACGCTTGCCTTTCCCTCTGGGCCTCCGAGGGCCTGAAGGAGGTGAGGGGGGATGGTTACCTCACCTGTATGTCAGGGGTTTCCACACCAAGGTTACTTTTCCTTGTGCTGCTTTTTCCAATTTGCCAACTTCTCAACCTGAAGAAGACAAAAATCCACTTGAGGCACAGAGTTACAAGGTTCCCAAAGAAGAGAAAGTAAATGAAGCGAGGGCTCTTCTGTATGAAGAGTGTTAATAATTAATTTAAGGAATTAAATTTCGAAACTCTTGAGAACACCATTCAAGTCGGTGACCTCATTTTGCTGCAGGTTCATTCAAATAGAACCATCAGCCAAATCGGTTTAAAGCCTCTGTCTAAGCATTGTACTCCAGGAGCGTGTCTCACCAGTATCCTTGCGCCTCACCTGTTGATAACAATGTGCTTTGTCCATTGGGCATTATACTTACTGAAGATCTTAGACTGTGTGGGTGATCATACAGCGAATGTTTAATAGATAAATTTTGCAGATTGGAGCTAAGATCTTGTATAAAGTAGCCTCTTGAATTGACAGAAGCAATAGTACCCTGAGGTACCTGTGTGCATACCTCATTGAGACACATGGGTACTTTAAGAAAACCCTTGGGCAGAGGAGGAATTTATCCCATAAAATGGGCTGGAGCTTCATTCTGCGCCTCTCAGAGCTGAGGAATTAGCCCTTGGAGCGCGTGCTTTGTTGTCTAACTTCTGGGGACCAGGGACTGCTTTCCTGTGTTGCCGAGTGGGTTCTGCTCAGGCCCCTGGGAAATACTCCTGAGACTTGCTTCTTCACAGGAGACGGTGCAGTATCAGCGTGGGTAACAACGTTAAAGTCCTCTTTATTCTCTTTCTCTTATTTGAAGTGACATTTTATTAGCATGCAGAGATGCTAATGGGACAGTGTATACTTCAAATTAGGTAGCCTGGAGCAGTTTCAGTAAGAAAGCTTACTGCACTTATCAGGAGTCTCAGTTCGGGAGCATCCTGTCATGTCTGCCTTACAGCAGGCTGGCGGGCATGGGTAAAAGCAAAGCACCAGAAAGGCTTGTGTATTTGAGGCCACAAAAAAGGAGATGAAGCTTTTGTGCTTATTGCAAGAGGCCAGAATGCCTCAGATCCAATCTGGGCTTAAGTGTGTTTTCTTAACTGATAGGAACTTCAGAGGTCAAGGAGAGAAAGCATCGTGGGTATAGAACAGAGGGACCTAGAAGATGGTCCTTGCACCTTTGTTCTCCAGTGTCAGTACTAAGGTTCCATTCAGCATATATGTAGTTCATTTTATTTTTTAAATATATATATTTTTATTTTGGAGAGATAGAGGAAAGGAGAGGGGGAAAGAGACAGAAAAATCGATGCATGAATATCAGTAGGTTGCCGCCTGCACTCTGCCCCCTTCTCCCCGACTTGGGATGAAGACTGAAACCCAGGCCTGTGCCCTGGCCAGGAATCAAACCAGTGACTTCTTGGTCCATGGATAATGCTCAACCACTGAGCCACATCAGCCAGTTCATTTTATGACCCATGAATATTTTGCTGCTTATAATTCTTCTCTTTGTATCACATACATGAAAATATATGCTGTTGTTTATTCATTTAGTTTGAAAGCCTAGGTGTTGTTATTTTTTCTCAAAGCAATATCAGAAGGTACATTGCTTTAATGAGCCTGAGGAACTGTTTACTTGGGTAAATTAAATGGTTTTATGGTAGAACTAACATTGATCTTTTGCAACTTTCAGGGCTTGTAATTCAGTGTTTACAGCATTAGACCACTGTCATGAAGCCATAGAAATAACAAGCGATGAGCATGTGATTCAGGTATGGGGACATTTTTTTTTATCTTTAGATGTCGAAGTAGAATCTTTTAAGTTTGAGCCACCCTTTTTCAAGCACTTTAATTCTCACACTTTAGCATGTTTCCTTTGGAGAAAGGAACACCAAAATATTCAAAGAAAACTGAGAGGGTGGCCTATTCGTTTTCCCAGGAGCCAACAGGAGCATAAAGGGGACAAATGTAATACTTTAAACATAAAGATTTTTTTTAAATGTTTTTAAAAACCTTATAGACTTAAGCTAAGAATTAGATATTTAATAAGAATAAAATTGTACTCAAATCAGAACCTGTAATTTCTTTGGAGGTTGGCTAAATTCTTTGGACCATCTGTGAAGATAGCATTTATTTACACAGAAGTGTATCAGGATTATAGAGTAAAGGCTTATAAGTGCTTATGGGAGCAAAATACTTTATTTTTTAATTTGTCAGTTACAGTTGACACTTAATATTTTAGTTAGATATTTACATGATGTACAAAGCGATTCCTCATAAGTGTACTGCCACCTGATATTATGCACAGATATTACAACATTACTAAATTCCCTATGCTGTACATTAATCCCTGTGATTGTTTTAACTACCAGTCTATACCTTTTTTTTTTTTAATTATTGATTTCAGAGAGGGAGAGAGAGAAACATCAACGATGATATAGAATCATTGATTGTCTGCCTCCTGCATGCCACCCACTGTGGATCGAGACTGCAGCCTGGGCATGTGCCTTTTACCGGAGTCGAGCTGGGGACCTTTCAGTCCTTAGGCCAACATTCTATCCACTGAGCCAAACCAGTTAGGGCCCAATCTGTACTTCTTAATCCGTCACCTTTTTCACCCAGTCCCCAGCCTCCCTCCCATCTGACAGCCACCAGTTTGTCCTGTGTATCTAGGAATCTGTTTCTTTGAGGAACAAAATATTTTCATGGGTGTTCATTTATTTATAGTTGGTATTCTAATAATAAGGCCCTCTAATGTACTGAAGCCAGCTTCCTAAGGAAATGTGTATAGTTAGCAGACAAGCCTTTGTTGAAATTACCTAGTTGTATTTGTTGGAAAGTAAGGCATTTATATGTAAAGCATCTTCAGAAATGCAGGCTGGTTCCTCTGACGGGCACGGTTGGTTTGCGCAGAGGCACTGAGTGTGAGGAACACTCACTCTCCTCAGTAGAGACCAAAGTCAATGTTGAGCACAGTGGACCCATGGCAGACAGAGCCGACGTTTGCTCTCCTGCAAATGCCGCACTGCACACAGGCACACCTGCTCTCATTCTGAACCAATGACATCAGCACCCACCATGCCGAGGCCCAGTCATCATTCTGTTCATAAGGTATCTCATTCCCATTCAGTAACCCTGTGAAAGAGACATGATGCCCACTATACAGGTGGGGAAACTGAGGACCAGCAAGGTCAAGGAACTCACCCAAGAGAAGCTCTGGTAATAAATAGTGGAACCCAAATATGTAGCCCTCTCTTTCTGACTCCAAAGCCTTTCCATGAGGTGTCCTGTTGGGCTGTATTTGTGGGAGTGTATCTTCGAAATGGATCTGACCGCGTCCTCATCTCATTGCCTGTTGCCGGCCCACCTGCCCATGGTTGGCGACCTGGGCCACAGAGGGACCAGGCCCGTTTCTGCTCTACACCAAGCACACTCCCACCTGTCTCCAGACTTGAACATCAGGTCTCTTTGTGAAACATGTTCCCTTTGCACCTCCCTGTGTACAGTGGACAACAGGTGGTGAACGCTGAGATGAGGAGAAGGGGCTCCCTGCTCTCTATTCACTTCCCCACTTGTAGCCAATGGTGCTTTCATGGCATCCTGCATCCACAGGGGGCACCTGGTGGCGCGGAACCCTGTGCCTCCGGGAGCGCGGTACACGGCGATGCTGTCACACGATATCGACCCCCTCCCAGCCTTCACCGTGAGCAGGACCAAAAGGGCTGAGGATGGTGGGCGCCTGGACTGGGGAGACTGCAGTTTTTTTTAGGGGGAACCTTGTCAGGCCCCTTTAAAAACCTACCAGCCCACCCTAGCTGGCTTGGCTCAGTGGATAGAGCATCAGCCTATAGATTGAAAGGTCCCAGGTTCGATTCCAGTCAAGGGCATATGTCTGGGTTGCAGGCTCAATCCCCAGTGGGGAGTGTGCAGGAGGCAGCTGATCAATGATTCTCTCTCATTGATGTTTCTATCTCTCTCCTTCTTCTCCCTCTCCCTCTCTCTCTCCCTTTCCCTTCCTCTCTGAAATCAATAAAAATATATTTTTTTAAAAATTAAAATAAATAAAAACTACCAGCCCTCTGAAGATGACACAAGAGCGAGGAGGAGGAAGAGGTTGCCCAGAGCATGTTCAGTGTGAGGGAACTAACGTGACCTCTGTGCTGTGGGCTTTGAGAGGGCCCAGCAGCTTCCCCTGCCTCCCAGCAGGCTTTGCTTCAGACGCCCCCGAACTGACCTGTGGCCACTTCCATTCACAGTACGTCAACCCAGCCTTCGAGAGGATGATGGGCTACCACAAGAGCGAGCTCCTCGGGAAAGAACTCGCCGAGCTGCCCAAAAGCGATAAGAACCGGGCCGACCTCCTGGACACCATCAACACCTGCATCAGGAAGGGCAAGGTGGGTGGCACTAGTAACAGCCCGCACACACCTCCCAACGCACGCTCTTCTGCTGTGGGTCTTTGTGTTCCATCTTCAAGGTTGGCTTCTTTCATCTATAACCATAGAAGCGTGATGTGCTCATTAGACTGCAGTCCTTCCGGAAGACCTTCCAGGAGAAGCCAGGGCTGTGAGGGAAGCCGGTGTCAGCAGCAGGGGGAAGGAAGGCCTACTCTTGCACGAATTTAGTGCATCAGGCCTCTAGCAATGCTACAATTAAATGAAAAATGTTTATGTTTGCAACATGAGTTAATTTTGGATATCAAGCAAACCTGGGGCTTAAGACGATGATACAGAATCTGGCAGTTTTGTCTAAGGGAACGCCATCCTGTGCCTGAATAGGCCCCACCTGTCATTCCTGGAACATCACTCGCACCTCTGCGCCTAGTCCCGCCCACAGGCTGATGTGTGTCAGCTTATCCACACAGCTTATCCACATCTAGTTTGGGGGACTAGATGTATTTGGTGTCAGTATTCACATGTAGGCCCAGTTTTCCTTGTTTTTGTTCTCTATCATCCCAGTTCATAGAGAGACGTCTCCCATTGGTCCCCGTAGACGAGGGCTGTGGTGCAAACGCAGAAGCATCTTCCCCCAAGTCCTCCCCAGTGGGCGCGCTGCTGTCCCAGCCGGAACTGCCTCTGCGTTTTCTCCTGAGCACTCGGGTGCTTTCTCACATGTTACTGCTTTCCTTTTGCTTTCTCAGATCCGAAGTAGTTAAATAAGCATTGTTTTCGTTTAATGGGGGGCCATTGTACAAACATAAAGTAAGTTTGGATTATATATGATGCCCAGAATTAATGTTTTAAAAATTGGGGCCATGAGACTGAAGAAGAAACAGGACATTGTCAAGTAATCCAAAAAACCCACCGGAATTCTGCTCCACCGGTGGCCCGGCATGCGGGGTGGACCCGTGAGCCGCCTGTGGGGGAGGGAGCGGGAAAGGCTGCAGAGAAAAGGCCCAGCTTCCCATCTAACTGCTCCTCCCAGGAATCACGGAGATGCCACGGGTCCCCGCTTCAGGTCACTGGGTTCTTCATCCCAGCCAGTTTCCCAAGGTCCAGAGGCAGCAGGGATTGCCACCCGCCCTCTGCCTCTTCCATGGAAACACCCAGGAGCCCGCAAACCCTGAGAAGCCAGGGCTGGAGGCCCCCCGGGATCACAGACGGGCAGTGGGCTTCATTGCCCATCCTCCGCTCTCTCACAGGGGTTCCTTAGTTAGAATCTCCGAACCTCCGTCTGCCCAGCTATCTGTTAGGATGATGATCTCAGACTCAGGTTGTTGGGATGATTCTGAGGAAGAGCTCGGGGAAAACCCCTCAACCTGGTGTCACCGCACCCAGAGGCTGAGCAGAGCGCCTCCCTCAGGGCCAGCGTCCCGGGGCCCCGGAGGGCAGCCCAGGGGTGGCCGGTCGTCCTGTTGTGTCCGTGCATTGTGACCACGGGCCTCACCGAGACAGAGCACGGCGGGACCCAGAGCAGAGCGGTGTTCTGTGGAAGGGTCTGGAAGCGAGGGGGAATGAATTGCTCAGTTGGCTCACACGCCCCTGCAGGAGCCATGGCTGCCTGGGCGGGAGGATTGTAAGAGCTCTCTCTCTCTCCATGCAGGAGTGGCAAGGGGTTTACTACGCCAAGCGGAAGTCCGGGGACAGCATCCAGCAGCACGTGAAGATCACCCCTGTGATCGGCCAAGGAGGGTGAGCGCAAACTCTTGGACTCTTCCAGCTGAAGGGCCGCGTGGGCATGTGGAAACGCAGGGTACGCGGGAGACCACAGGTACAGGAGGGCTGGGCTTACATCGTCAGGCCAAGGCCAGCTCCGTGCAGCCGGCAGCAACCCCCAGACACGGCTCTTGTCTTCTCCTGCCGCTCGTGGTCTTTATGGAGCATCGCCCAGGAGCCCCTCCCCCAGAGCTGAGGTTCCCTCTGCCCACTGCCCCCTGAGGGAGCTGGGGTTCCAGGCTGTCCATCTCCACGGCAACAGCAAAACTGCTGGGAGCGGCTTCTCTCCCTGAGAGCGGCCTGGGCTGGCTTCTCCCGGGCTCAGGGCTGCCTCCAACTAGGGAGAAAGGCCTGGGGGTTTCGGAGAGAAAGTTGTGCCTGATCCAAAGCTCAGGCTGATCTGATCCCATTTAATCTGTTACCAGAGAAGCCTTATCCCTGGGAGAGAGAAGGTGAATACGCGATTCCTTTTCCTCCCCGTTTAATTCTGAGTTTACGAAGCCAAACAGGCTCCCCCGACCAGCATGTCCCTGAGGAGCCTTTGGCAGCCAGCCTGGGGGTCACACCAGCCTCGGAGTATGAGGGGCGCACACCGCTGTGGGAAGTTTTGGGAAAGGAAAGGTGGGGGTTACAATGCCAATCAGAGAGGAGAGTCCTGCCTGTGCCCCTGGCTGCCCCCGTCCCTCACAGGTCATTGTGGGAGTAGACACAACAGTCCATGTAGTCAGCAAAATGCCGCTTGGTTGTCTCCCCTCCGGTTTTCTTGGTTCGTTTCAAAAGTGTCCCTGTTCGTTCAGAGACCACCGTCTCGTGCTTCCTGCCATCGTGCCTCCGTGTGGGTGGTGGGTGACGGGCAGTCCTTGGCCCCGGGACGTTCTCCTGAGCGCACGGTCCTCCGTGGCCCTCCCAGCGGTCCCTGCTCAGCGGCCGCATGGCTGTCCTGGTGTTATCATGATCCTTATGCCATCTTTCAGAAGATCGAAGCCGACATTCACTTTGTGTGTGTGTGACCAGAATTATTAGGTAACCAGGGCCGAGGAGACATGCCGCTGCTTGGCGATGTCTGTCAGAGTGAGGCTTTCTGATTGTGCAGATAAGAGGGAGACGTTCTCTTGTCCAGACAGCATGTTATTTCACCACCACCCCCCTCTCCTGCCCCATTGCAGGCAGTGAACTGTCAGGGGAAATTTTTATTAAAAGTAGGGAGATGGTTTTTGGGTTTTTTTGTTGTTGTTTTTTTACCTCTTCCTGTTTCATTACAGGGTAACCTGCACTTTCTATGCTCTCCTCGGAGTTCTCCAGAGAAAACTAAACCAGAGAGAGAGAGACAAAGAGAGACAGAACCAGGGAGAGAGAAAAGGGCAGTCATTGCTGTGAAATCTAACTCAGCCCTCTGGGATTCCTGGCTTCACACTCAGTAGAAAACCTACCATGAGCTGAATTCTGGGCAGGGCTGAGGCACCTGTGGCCTCTTCCTGGTCTGTGCTGTGTAATGAGCAAGACCACAGGCAGCTGTGGGATTCTGTCCATGACCTTGGAGTACGAGGATTTTTCTCTGCCCGAAAAAATGCCATTGTTATGATGACCATGCTGCGCAGTAATAATGGGATTAAATATAAAAATAGCTGCCCTGCAATTTGACCATTATCCAAATGAGCCTTTTGCTTTCTATATAAGCTATAAAAGTATTAGCGTCAGCAGAATAAAGCCAATTTTTTCTGGAGTGGCATTTCATCCCATCACGGCAGGTACTGGGAGCCAAGCTTTAGGAGTCGGTCACAGAATGAAATGCTCGTTAGGAAAATGTCTCGGAGCAGCGCCAATGTAAAAGGAAGCCCAGTTTGGGGAGGCACGCGCGGGCTGTGGGTGAGAAGTCCTTTGCTGTAGACCGGGCTTTGGGTGAATTGTACATCTGCCCTAGAATATCCCCTGGAGTTTTGCTTTTAAAAAGTTTCTGTTGATGTTTTCGTTTGCTGATTTGTTGGATCGTCCTCTACCTGACTCACTAATAACTAATTATTTGTGTTATTAGGAAAATTAGGCATTTTGTCTCCCTCAAGAAGCTGTGTTGTACCGCTGACAATAATAAGCAGGTACGGTACCCAGCTTGCTTCGTTTGCTCTGTCAGCTTGGCCGCGCATTACCTTCTCACCACTGCTCTCTGCTTGTCTTTCTCCATTTCTAATTGTCGTTGCCAATTAAGAAGGTTTATGGGGAAATTAGGCTCCTTTGGCAGATGGTATAAAAAAAAAAAAATTCCCTTGCAAGCCTGTGCTACCAACTGAGTGATGCACAGGACTTAAAAAATGTTTTGTTTTTCTATCTTAATTTCTTAAGCAAATAAAAAGTATCGATGTATTTGAACACTTCGTCCCTACAAGTTTATATAAAAAACAAGAATCATTCCAAGTTAGTACTGTGGTTTTTTCAAAACCATTACATCATGCAGAACAATCCATTTGAGTGTTCTTCTGCAGGAGAAGAATTTTAATGAGTTGCTTTTTTAAGAACCTTCCTTTGTAGAGACCTTTATCATAGAGGACAACATGGGTTTTTTTTCTTTTTGATTTATACTTCTAATACTGGATTATGTGTATTTTCACTTCATGCTTTAAAGTTTCTTGATTGAAAAATACTCAACCATCGCTCGTTATCTATTTTTTAAAACATACCATGTAGCCTTTGACATAGATGAGAATTTTAAAGGGAGGGACAGTATAGCTAAAGGAAAAGGAGGACGTCGGGGCACAATCCATTCTAGTGGGACGTGGAGACTTGTCAAATGTGGGATAAGAAGGTGAAGCCTAGCCAGGCAAAGAAGTAAAGTGGGGACCCCAGGACCCAAAGATGCCTGGGCTCCTCCCAGTGAGGAGGGGGTCCCCCAAAGGGCAGTGGGCAGAGTGAGGAGCCTGCGCAGGGCTGTGAGTTGGGGCGGGCCCACTGAAGGTACCCATGGACAGTTGAGTATATTGCGGAATGATCCCCTACTAAGTGTTGGTCACCACATGTAGTTACGAATTTTGTTCTCGTGATGAGAACTTTAAATACCTACTCTTTTAACAACTCTCAAATGTACACGATAGTGTTGTTAACTATAGTTTCCATGCTGTACATCACACTCCCACGAAGTACTTCTCTTATAATAGGAAGTTTGTACCTTCTGCTCTTCTTCACCCTTTCATCTGCCACCCACCTTGGGAAACCACCAACCTATTCTCTGTATGTATGAGTTCGGTTTTGTTGTGTGTGTTTTTTAGATTTCATGTGCAAGTTATATGATATTTGTCTTTCTGTGACCCATTTCACTTAGGATAATGTCCTCGGTATCCATCCATGTTGTAGCAAGTGGCAAGATTTCCTTCTATGTTACGGCAAAGTAATATTTATTACGTATACAGGTCCTTGAATAATGTTGTTTTGTTCAATGTTGTTTCATAATAATGTTGCTGAGATACCACAGGAGCTTAACAGTTGTTTATATCAATTAGCTGATGGTAAAATTTGTTTTGTTAGATGATGTTCCTCTTAAAGGCGTAGAACCTATCGGCACTGTTAAGTGAGGACTTGCTGTGTGTGTGTGTGGGGGGGGGGATGTACACACACACACACACACACGCATATACATATATATATATATATATATATATATATATATATATACACACACACACACACACACACACACACTACATTTTCTTTAGTCATCTGTTGAAGGACACTGGATTATTTCTATGTCTTTGGTATTGTATAATTAATGCTGCGATGAACATTTATCGTTTCCTTTGGATAAATATCCAGAAGTGGAATTGCTGGATCATATCATAGTTCTATTTTTAACTTTTGGAGGAACCTCCCTATTGTTTCCTGTAGTGGCTGCATCAGTTTACATTCTTACCGACAATACACAAGGGTTACCTTTCCACACTTCCTTTTGACAAGAAATGTGTTAGTAGCCATTCTAACGGGTATGAGTTGATACCTCATAGTTCTCATTTGCATTTTCCTGATGATCAGTTGTGTTGAACACCTTTTCATACATCAGTTGGCCATTTGTATGTCTTAGAGGGAAAATGTCTAATGTTTTTTCACCCCTGGTTGGGAATGCAGGGATGTGGGGGGCTGTTTTAATTTACACCCAGTTTTCCACTGTGCAGGAAAACCCCTTTGTTGCTCAAGCGTCAATGTGTTCAGATCCTCTGGCCTTCGTTTAATCAGATTGTTCGGGGCGTTATTTTTGCTGTTGAGTTTTATGAGGTTTTTTCCACATATTTTGTCTATTAGCCTTTACCAGATAAATGGTTAGAAATTTCTTTTTCCCATGTGGTAGTAGACTTTCTGTTCATTTTGTTGATGGTTTCCTTTGCTGTGCAGAGGCTTTTTAGTTTGGTTCAGTCCCATTTATTTATTTTTGTTTTTGTCTGTGCTTTGAGTATCACATTAAAAAAAATCATCACCAAGACCAACGTAAAGGACTTTCTTTCCTATGGTTTCTTCTAGGAGTTTTATGGTTTTCGGTCTTATGTTCAAGTCTTTAATCCACTTGATTGACTTGGTGTTTGGATAGGATAGCAGCCCAGTTTCATTCTTCTGCATGTGGCCGGCCAGTGTTCCCAGCATGACTTATTGAAGAGACTCCCTTTCTCCATTGTATAGTCTTGGCCCCTTAGTCATGAATTAATTGATCATACTTATGTGGCTTCATTTATGGGCCCTCTATTCTGTTCCATTGATTTCTGTGTTTTTATGCCAATACCATACTGCTTTGATTCTATCGTTTTGTAATATAGCTTGAAATCAGGAAGTATGATGCCTCCAGCTTTGTTCTTCTTTCTCAAGATTCACTTGGCTATCCTAGTAAACTATTCTAGAATAGCCAACGTGATCGTGTGCTTTTTCATGAAATTTAGTTCAACATAAAAATGCCTTCTTAGGCACTAAGCATGTTATCTGGAACCAGGAGATTTTCACTAAATACCAACAGTCACGCAAAGAGGCAAGGCCTTGGAGACCTCTGGGAAAAGGAAGGGAAATGACTTTCATAGAAAAAATAAAAATCCTCTCAACAGCAAAGTGTAGACATCCCAGGAGGGAGAATGAGATAATGTGGGCGGTGACCCAGGAAGAGGGAAGAGGAGCACAGGAAATCGTGGTGGCTCTTTACAGACAAACGACTGAGCCCAGGCCCCGCACACCAGCCTGCGTGGGCTGTGAAGCTGCACTAATACGGACTGTCCCTGCCAGGAAGAGCCTCGTACAATTCGTGTCCACAGCCACGCACAGCTTCCCACCAGCCTAGCCCCGCTCCTCCCCCTCCTCTCTCTCTCCTTGAGGAATGGGACACCCAGTCACCGTGACCGGGCTCCCTGCCGCTTCATGTGCCCGCTTTCTCCGGGCCTGTGGTCCCGCCCAGGAAAGCTCTCCATCCGCAAGCCCCAAAGTCCCTGCTTTGCCGTGTATCCCACCATCATCATGGCCATGTGGGTACCTCACTGCCCTCCTCTTCGTGTGGGGTCACTGGGACGTGCTTGTCTCTGTTTGCCCAGGCTGCCTGGCACATAGCAGGCCCTCAGGCCGTTGGTCAGCTTGAGTGGAATTGCATGTCCTCCTGCCACCTGTGAGCTCCCTGCTTCACAGGGAAAGCAGGCAAGCCCGGAGCACAGGACTCCGGATGCAGAATTGAGGGACCACCTCTTGTTTTCTGAGGCTCTAAATAGAAACGTCATCACTGCCCTGAGTCAGCTGCTGCTCTGGGAAGAGGGGGGACACAGAGCCCAGATGCCTCAGCCGCTGACGTCACCTAATGGTGCTGCATAGGCCTAGAGCACAAGTGTCAAACACAAGGCCCTCGGGCCAAATCCGTCCTGCCAGGCCTTGCAATGTGGCCCGCACCGCGCTGTCATCACTGCACTCCACTGCGTTTCCATCACAATGACAGTTTATGACTGTTCAGTAAACCATTCGGCCCGCGATTTAGGCTGGATTTTAGATTTTGGCCCCTTCTCTGATTGAGTTCGACACCCCTAGCCTAGAGGGACACTGGTGTTTTTCAGCAGCAAGGGAGTTTTGTCTCCTCCTCACGGAAGGAGGCGGAAGGGAATGGTTGTGGGGCTGTGACGGGCAGGGATCCCCGTCTACAGGCGGTTCTGGGTGCGCTGCCTTCTGGGGTGCAGCCCTGGCGTCAGAACGTATCCATGGGTTTGCATTGTAACGAGGACGGACATGGTAAGCCGGGCTGCTGTCCTCGGATGCTGCTTGTCAGCAGCAAAGACTTCTTTCCCACATGGACCCCGGAGCACTTTGCCAAGAGGCTGGACATGCTCAGCGAGGTTTGTCTGCTATAAACATCATCTCCCCTTCGCCACACACACACTTCCTCCCCAGATAGACACTGAAAACCTGTTCTGTGCCGCCACCAGCTAGGCAGAGTCCGCCCCAGAAGCCACGGGGGCCAGACAGGTACGCAGGGTACATTGCCAGAGCGCAGTGTGGGCGGTGTGAGCCGAGCGCTGGACACATGGAGAGGAGCCCAGGGTGTTTTAGGGGTGGTCTAGGACAGGGGGCCACAAACTGCAGCCTTCAGGCCAAAGGCAGCCTGTTTGGTAAATAAAGTTTTATTGGAACACAGCCACACTCCCTTGTTGGGAAGGACTGTGGCTGCATAACTAGTTACAACAGAAACGGTATGGCCTGCAAAGCCTAAAATCGTTACTGCCTGGATCTTGCAGACACGTTAGCTGACCTATTTCTAGAGGAAATCTTTCTTTTCTCACTTGGTAGGCCAGGGACAGCCTGCCTTCCCACCGTCCCCTCCACGTGGCCATGGGAAGGCAGGGAGCACTCCAGAAGCCAGTGTCCCGGCAGAGCCCGGGAGCCAGGGGCCGGAAGGCAGGGCTACAGCTGGGGATGTGGATTGGGTCACCCGGTCCCCTTCTCATGGAGGGACGGCCACGCTCATGGAGAAGCCTCCGGGAGGTGCAGGGATTTCATGTCCAGTGAGAAGAAGTGGTTTTCTTGTGAAGTCAGGGGGCAGGGCCCACCCAGAGAGCAGCCCCAGGAGAGATGCCCGTTCCCGGGAGAGAGCAGGGGGAGGTCG